GCGGGTTGGGCTGCTCGGGGTAGAGGCGGCGGCACTCGCCGTAGATGCCGTGCAGCCCCGGGGGGAAGAGCGCGGGGAAGGAGCCGGGCCCGGCCCCGGGGGGGGCCCCGCCAGGCCGCGCGCTCTCCATGGGGCCGCCGCTCCGAGCGGGACGGGCTGGGGGGTCCCTGCGCCGAGCTCTGGGAGACGGGGGAACCGGCCCGCCCGGCCCAGGCGGCTGCTCCGGGCTCCGGCTCGCCACACACCCGGCCCAGGCGGCTCCGTCCACCGGCAGCTCCCGAGGAGGCGGTGCCGGGCGGGCCTAGTCGTCCGCACTTTGACTGGCGGGCGGCTCCGCCAATCGCAGCGCGGGAGGCCAGGCCTCCTCGCCCAGCCCGGCCCCACCCCCTGCTGAGGCGGAGGGAGGCGCGTGCGCGACCCCTGGCGGCGGCGGCCTGCGGCTGCAGCAGCGGGCGGGGGAGAGTGAGGCCCTCTAGGGGCGGGGGGCTATGGGGGAAGCTAGGGGAGATGGGGCGCTGTGGGGAGGAGGGAGCTATAGGGGCCCTATGGAGACAAATAGGGGAGGAGAGACGTTATGAGGGTCCTATGGGGGGAGAAGAATTGGGGGCCCAATAGGGCAGAATAGGGCAGGAGGGGAACTATGGGGACCCTATGGGGGGACACTGGGGCCCCCATAGAGGAGGAGGAGAGGTGTGGGGGTCCTATGGGGGGTGATTAGGAGGGAGGGGAAGAATGCACCCTATAGGGAAGAACAGGGCAGGAGTTGGAATTATAGGGGCCACATGCTGGAAGAGTGGGGCCCTATAGGGCGTGAGTAGAGGAGTGGGTGGGGAAGCTATAGGGACCATTTGGGAAGAGGAATGGACCCTAGGATTGGAGAACCGAAGGAGAACCCTTAGAGGCTAGTGAGGTCCTAGGCAATACTGGTGGCTACCTACTAGAGCACAACTAAAAGACTGTATTAAGGCTATGGGAGACCAACTCATAGTTTTCAGTGGTGGCCCATTCTTCCCCCTAATCCCACATGGTGGCCTACACTAGCAGCAGCTGGGCAATTTGTGATACACGCCCTGTTCTTTTGATGTGGACATTCAGAGTGGGAGGAAGATACCCAATGATCCCCGATCAGGTGTTAATTTGGGTGTCTGCTACAGAGTAGCATAGGCAAAAACTTCATCTCTGCTACCCATAGCCCAGGGGTCCTAAGTGAAGCTACATGGCATCCTACACATCCTCCTCCCCATTCTCCCTCATAGAACCCCATTCTTTCCCCAGAGGGCCCAGATAACTCCCCTCCTCCCCTCTGAGGGCCCCATTGCATGCTGAGATCAGAGGTTGCATCTCTGTATTAAAGTTGAGGGCAGTTACAAATTGCTCCTGGAACACTGCCCAGTGTGTAACAAGTTGGTAACTCTTGCCATAGATGACCTGAGGCAGGGTCTCTCTGAGAACCTCCCTCCCTGTTGTCAGAACTCACTTGCTAATTGACACACCCATAGAGATTATTTCCCCTCAGAGAAGTTGTAGACTCCCAGACTGCTGCACTGTGGAGCACAGTTTGGGGAGGAGGTGAGCATCCCTCAGTGGTGAAAGAACAGGCTAAAGACTATTTAGAAAAGTTGGACATGCACAAGTCCACGGGTCCAGATCTAATGCATCCAAGGGTGCTGAGGGAGTTGGCTGATGTGATTGCAGAGCCATTGGCCATTATCTTTGAAAATTTGTGGCGACTGAGGGAGGTGGATAGAAAGCTGGCTAGATTGTCAGGCTCAACGACTTGATGTCTAGTTGGCAGCCGGTATCAAGTGGAGTGCCCCAGGGGTCGATCCTGAGGCCAGTTTTGTTCAACATCTTTACTAATGATCTGGATGATGGGATGAATCGCACTCTCAGCAAGTTCACAGATGACAGTAAGCTGGGGTAGATACGATGGAGGGTAGGGATAGGGTCCAGAGTGACCTAGACAAGTTGAAGGATTGGGCCCAAAAGAAATCTGATGAGGTTCAACAAGGACAAGTGCAGAGTCCTGCGCTTAGGAAGGAAGAATCCCATGCACTGCTACAGACTGGGGACCGACTGGCTAAGCAGCATTTCTGCAGAAAAGGACCTGGGGATTACAGTGGACAAGAAGCTGGATATGAGTCAGCAGTGTGCCCTTGTTGCCAAGAAGGCCAATGGCAAATTGGTCTGTATTAGTAGGATTGCCAGCAGATCAAGGGAAGTGATTATTCCCCTCTATTCAGCACTGGTGAGGCCACATCTGGAGTATTGTGTCCAGTTTTGGTCCCCCCCACTACAGAAGGGATGTGGACAAATTGGAGAGAGTCCAGCGGAGGGCAATGCAAATGATTAGGGGGCTGGGGCACATGATTTATGAGGAAAGGCTGAGGGAACTGGGGTTATTTAGTCTGCAGAAGAGAAGAGTGAGGGGGGATTTGATAGCAGCCTTCAACTACTTGAAGTGGGGTTCCAAAGAGGATGGAGCTCGGCTGTTCTCAGTGGTGGCAGATGACAGAACAAGAAGCAATGGTCTCAAGTTGCAGTGGGGGAGGTCTAGGTTGGATATTAGGAAACACTATTTCACTAGGAGGGTGGTGAAGCACTGGAATGGGTTCCCTTGGGAGGTGGTGGAATCTCCATCCTTAGAGGGGTTTTTAAGACCTGGCTTGACAAAGCCTTGACTGGGATGATTTAGTTGGTGTTGGTCCTGCTTTGAGCAGGGGGTTGGACTAGATGACCTCCTGAGGTCCCTTCCAACCCTAATATCCTATGATTGTAAGAGCAGCTGAGTCAGGGTGGATAGTAAGTATTAGAACATCAGCAGCCTCAGCAGCAGAGGATTTTTTCTTAAGCCCCTGCCTGCACACCCAACTTCTCTCATGTCTCACTCTTATGCCGAGCACATACAAACAGGTTGTAGGTATTCAAAATTGGGGAACAGAACACAGGAACCTTATTGTCACTTAGCAACCTTAACGTTTTTGGTTTTGTTTTAGAATTTCCCACCTTTAATTACATTGCTCCTATTTTTCCTTGGCAAAATTAAATCAGACACTTTTAAAAACATGATTTATCAACTGCCTAACCAAGGCTTTTGCCTGCATACAACACACACTGAAGTACCAGTCTACACTAGAAATTGGAGCCAGGGCCCCTATCCTGCCAAGTCTTGTGCATGTGCTTAAGTTTATACACTGTGAATAGTCCCATAAGTAGGGCCCTACCAAATTCACAGCCATGAAAAACGCATCATAGACCATGAAATCTGGTCTTTTGGGTGCTTTTACCCTATACTATACAGATTTCACAGGGGAGACCAGGGTTTCCTAAACTGGGGTCCTGACCCAAAAGGGAGTTGGGGCGGGGAGTCACCAGGTTATTTTAGGGGGAGTTGCAGTATTGCCATCCTTACTTCTGCACTGCCTTCAGGGCTGGGCACCCGGCCAACAGCTGTCGCTCTTCAGCCGCTCAGCTCTGAAGGCAGCACCTTGCCAGCAGCAGTGCAGAAGAAGGGGTGGCAATACCATACCATGCCACCCTTATTTCTGCCCTGCTACCTTCAGAGCTGGGTGGCTGGATAGTGGCAGCTGTTGACTGAGGGCCCAGCTCTGCAGGCAGCAGCGTAGAAGTAAGGGTGGCAATACCATACCATGCCATTCTTACTTCTGTGCTGCTGCTGGCAGCGGCTCTGCTTTCAGAGCTGGGCTCCTGGCCAGCAGCTGCCGCTCTCCAGTGAATTTTTTTGAGTTAATCATGTGAGTTAACTGCGATTAATCGACAATTCTAATTATTAGCAAATAAAAACAGTTGCTAAGAGATTAGACGACGATACTATGAAGGACTGACTAAGGTTGTCTACACTAACACTTTTGTTGGCAAAACTTTTGTCATCCGGGTGTGAAAAAACCACACCTGACTGGCAAAAGTTTCATCAACAAAAACACCGGTGTGGACAGCACTGTGTCGGTGGGAGAAGCTCTTAGTTTTGCCTACATAAGTGGTAGTGTAGACAGGAGCGCTGCCAGCTTTTCTGCCGCTCTAAGCGGCAGAAGGTCCCACCGCCAAAATACCACTGTGGTCGCCGCCCCCCCAAATAGTAGTGCCCTAGGCGACTGCCTAGGTCGCCTAATGGGTTGCACCAGCCCTGAGTGCAGACGTGGCCTAAGTCTCCCTGGTCACTTATCTGGGTGAACATAAGGCTATGTCTACACTACAGCCTATGTCAGGGCAAAACAGACCCCGCCCCTACGCACCAGAACCCACCCACAGACTACAATTCCCAAGATGCCCTGGGCCTCCCCTCACGTACAGACTACAGTTCCCAGCATGCAGTGCTCATAAAGCGCACAGCGCCCAAGCTGCCCCGCGCTCCCTTTCCGCGCATGCGCCCCGCAGCCCGGGCTGTCGCTCCCTGGCTGGCGGCTGCGGCGAGTCCCGCCATGGAGTCCTACGATGTGATCGCGAACCAGCCCGTGGTGATAGATAACGTGAGTCCGGGCCCGGACCCCTCAGGCCGGCACCAGGGACGGGGAGGCGGGAAAGACACGGCCAGCACGATCCCTTTGTCACCGGGGCCCCGCCCTGCCGCTCCCCCTCCCCGGGCGAGTCCCCTCAGCCCCGCCCCGTCCTGATTTCGGGCCCGCCCAGACTCAGCGACGTGTCAACCGAACTCAATGAACGCTCTCCTTCCCGCTTTTTCATTGGCTCCCGCGCCTGTCAATCACCGGCGGAGGGCTCACCCTAACCTGCTGGTTCGACCGGTTTTACCTCCGCGGAAGTGCCCGGCCACGGGAGTGTTTTGATGGCCTGATTGGCTCTCTCGGCTGTCACTCGCATGGGATGCCCTATCCCTTGGCGAAACCTGACGAGCCCGCCCCTGAGTAATGTACCTGCAGTGATTGGCTGCCCTGGCTGTCTATCATAGGCATAGGCTGGGACCCCTCAAGTTCCATGGTCCAGTGCCCTGCCAGGACATCTGAGCAGACTGGGCAGGTTTGGGGTGAAGGGCTTGGAGAGGCTCTGCCCTGACCAGGCACCCGGCACGCACTGCTCCATGCTGAGAGCAGAGAAGTATGCCATCTTCATGGGGATCAGCGCTCCCAGCATGCACTCTGTGTCCAGTAGGGAGGTGGACCCCAGTGGGGACAGCTCCCAGCATGCCCTGCTCCATCTCCAGACCAGTGAGAAGTGAGGCTCATGGGGATGACTGCTCTCAGAATACACTGCACTGCCTTGAATTTAACAGTCGGGGCATGGCCTGCAGAGATGATAGGTTCTAGCCCATGGCCCTTCTCATCGATTCAAGCCAGAACTGTAATCTCTATGGGGGACATCTCAGGATAATAGATGAGGTTGGCTCCAGGCCTTCGTGATGTACTTCAGAGTCCCATGCAGACAGCAGTTTCGTTAACTCTGATCCACAGGCCCTCCCAACAACAAGGACTATCCAGTAAAGGGCGAGAGAAGGAGGGGGATGATTTAGAGACAACCTGATTTGCTACAATGGGTCACATGCTCTCGGTCTCCTCCCTTCAGCCCCTTGATGCCAATATTCCAAACAAATTTTACTGTTCATGTGTCGAATGGGGGGATTCTGCCTGTGCTCTCATCCTTCTCCATCACCTTTGACAAAAGGATTCAGGAATAATAAATGGGCTTGCTTGCCTTGCAGCTCTGACACACTCCCTTTTTTCTTGTACCTTGCAATTGTAGACCTTTTAGGCTAACTCTAGACATCCTAGCATGTCTGCCCTTATATTGGGTGATTCCTAATTCCCTCTTATTGCATTTTTACTGTCCATCCCAATTGCCATCTGGAAATCCACCCATCTCTTGAACTCTTTCTTATCTCTTTGCCAACGTGTCTTTCCCAGTAACTAATTCCAAATATATTTCAGTGTTGTGACTTGTATGTGTCAGAATGGAAGGCATGACTCTTGTTTCACTCTGAGGGAAGCATCTCAAATTTCCTGAGGCTCCTGCCATAGTTTGTATTGCTGGCTTTTACCCCCACCGTTGATGTTTCCCTTTAGGATCGAGGAGAAATGCTGTCTAGAAGTTAGACCAAGGGTTTGACTTGGTAGGCCTGGCTTCTTTTCCTTGTAGAGAGATTTTCCTGAACTGGAATACCATATCTTAACCCTTCAAACTTTGAAACCTGATCCAGACAGTTTAGTCCCCTCATTCCCTATTCTCCCACTAACTCTGTGTGACCTTGGGCATGCTGCTTAACCTCTCAGTGCTTTTGTTTTCCCATCAATAAAATGGGAATAGTGGTGCTTACCCACCTTGGCAAAAGGCTTTTGAGCTCCTAGGATGAAAGGCATGGGAGAAATGCAAAGGAAATATTATTAGAACTTAGTTAATAATATGCAGACACTGCTAAGGGTTGAGCAAGGTATAAAGAGGCATATTAGCATATCTGGTTTCACTGTGTCCCTGACTAGTTAAATTGAGATTTTTCGCGGTATATGTGAGAGAAATAATTGAGTGATTTATGTTGTGAGATCAGCATTTTTCACAGGCAAGGCTCCCAGATCAGGATCTTACAGTGACGTTGCAATTTTGAGGCTGTCCATGAGTGATAGAGGAAAGTGGAAATAGTGCAGACAATATACTACTGTTCTGCACTTCTTTGTAGTGCCTTTCATCAGAGAGTCTCGAAGGGCCTTACAGAATTGGGTATTATCCCTGTTTTAGGCATGTAAAATGAGGCAGTGAGAATCGAGAACAGACCCAGAGAGTCCCGATTCCAGTCCTGCTTTTACCACTAGTAATACCTACTCTTACCTATTACTGTTATTTATTGCCAATTATAATGTTTCTAGCACCAGGCTTTTGTTGTACAAAGCTGGAGGTCGGGGTTGCTGCACAATAGTGGCTTAACACCCCCTCTTTTTCCCATAAGTAAATTGTAAATGACTTGAGTGTGGGCAGATCGCTGCACCCCCATGGAGCGTCGCTGAAATCAATGGATGGGTGGCCTTGGTGAACATAAATGAAACCAATTGAGGTGAAGGGCCAGATTCATCACTGACTCCACTGACCTCCCTGTAGTCGTCCCTACTTACATAAGGCCTGGCCTGAGAGAGGAGAATCAGTGTGTCTTTATGATCTTAATGTTGTTGTTTTCCACAGCTGATACAGCACTACTGGATATTGTTTCTTTGAGTGAGTGTTTTTTTTATGCTCTTGATGTTAGCAAAAGAATATCTTATCAAAATGGAGGTGAAAGAGGATGGAGTGTGTTATTTCCATAAAGAATGAGACCAGAGTAGATTTAATCTGTCAGTGAATTCCATGTTTATTCAGATCATAAACCCCTTCAAGATTAGTGAATCAGTTTTGCAGTCCACTACAAAGCTGATGAAAGGGGTGTGCTTAGGTAGCATGCTCCCAAAGTTTAGGTATTGTAAACGAAATATATTATCACTGACTTCAAAACAATCTCTAGTGGGTTTTTTCATATTTAAAATGCAAAACCATTCTGGATAACTGATAAAGGAAGATAGATATAAAAATCTATGAGTCTTAATAAATGTAATATGCTTTTGGTGTGCAGTGTTGTTGTAGCCAGAGAGGAGGTCACATGTTTTTGCTGTACTTAAAATTGCTTCCACCACATTCCTTGAAATGAACTTCACTCCAGGGCAACAAAACCCCCCAAAATATTTATTTTAAAACCATGATGCTTAACCTGGCAGTGTCCTTTTAACCACTTAAATTCTTTTCTGTGTGCATCACCGGGACAGTGAGCAAAGATTAAATAGATCCACCACCTAGTGCACGCAAGTGTAGCTTTGTTTAGAAAGATTAAAGCATTTTACAGGGAAGCTAAATAGACTGGAAAGCATTGTCAACTCTCATAATAGAGAGATGGCTAACAATTGCGAGGGGATTAGTGCCTGGTACTACTGCATTTGGGTCCAGTCCTACAGGCTTGTGTGTTCCACTGAAGTCCAATGTATGTTTTTGAGGGATAAATAATCTCAACTGATTTTGAACTTTAATAAGCAAGTTAAAAATGCATCCCTTGCTGGGGACCTCTCAGAGTTCAATAGGAGCATCATTGTTCTCCTGCATCTGTTTCTCTGGAGCCAAGCATGCTGGCCGTGTATTGAGTTATTATCTAGACTCAACTATTAAATAAGAACTGGCTTTGGAGGAGTTTGCCTTACTGTATTTATTTATCCTGCTATTTGCTACGGTGAGATTGTGAATTGCCAAGTATGTGTTAAAGCTAGTGCTTAGGAAACTCAACACTGTGTTTTGTAGACTAGAATAATGGCTTTGCTCTGAAATGGTGGTCAGAAAAGAGTCCATGTCCCGCTGACCCCATCTCTTATGTCACCGATCATTTCCATGTGTGAGTAGGTTAGTGCAGCGATCCGACAAAATTGTGGGCCACCAAGCAGGAGTCTACTCTGGGTCACACAGGACGTCTTATCTGGGCTCTGCTGGCAGGATGGGGATGACTCACAGTGCTCCAGCATGATTCAGGGGGTAGGGCACTGGCCTAGGAGGCAGGACCCGAGTATTAATCCTACTCTGCCACTGATTCGCTGAGTGGTTTTGGGCGAATCAATTTGTCGGCCTTCCTGTCTGTAAGGTGATGACAGAGATACTAACCTGCCTTTTGGGGGTCCTTTGAGATCTGTGGGTGAAGAGCACCTAGGGTGACCGGATGTCCCAATTTTATAGGGACAGTCCTGATTTTGGGTCTTTTTCTTATATAGGCTCCTAATATTCCCCCACCCCCTGTCCTGATTTTTCACATTTGCTGTCTGGTCACCCTAAGAGCACCATTGGTTGTCTGGGATCCTGTGTGGCCAATAGAACAATCCTTTTGACCTGTAAACCAAGAAATCACGCTGTGGAGTCACTGAAGGTGAATAGCGAACCCCATTATTAGAATCACTTGGCTTCAGCATGTGTCACATACCTCACTCCACTCTCATCTTTTAATTACATGCCTTTCCACAGAAGGCACTCGTTTTCAGTGTCCTGAGTGAGCAAACCTTGATTATCTGACACAGAGAGAGTGTGTGTGAGTCTGCTCTTTAGACTAAAAACCTGGGAGTTTTCCTGAGATCACTCTTTGTTTCAAGCTGGCGCTCCTACAGAAAGGGGAAGAGGAAGCGGAGGAGGGGAGAGGCTCTCCAGTGATTGTGGTAGGCAGCCACATTCCCAGGATGTATCCTGAAAATATCCACGAGGAGAGGTGCACTTTGCTGTTTGGTCTGAGAGATTTCCGCAGCTCCAGGAGGTCAGCCGCCTGGCACAACTGTTACCAAAGAATCAAAGTGCTGAATTTTTAACTACTCTACATGCTCCTGTGGGGTTTTGCTGCTTTGAATAGTGCCTCCTTGCAAAAAAAAAATCTACCGTCCTTGCAGTACCCAGCCTCTTCTCACTGGCTTCCTCTTGAATCTGATCCAAATTCCTTGTTGCATCCAAAGCCCTGTGCAACTTAGCTCCCACGTTCCTCTCTGCTTGTTTCCTTTTGCTCCCTGCTTGTCCCCATAGCTCTGCCGAGGCTGCGCACCGATTATTATTAGCCCCAGTCATGACCCAGGATCCCACCGTGCTAAATGCTGTATTGACACAGAACTACAAGTCTGTCCCTGCCCCAAAGAGCGCACCCCCATAGCTTCTTCTCTCAGCCTCAACTCCAGTCGGTTTTCCACGGGGTTGTTCTCCCCTTAAAACTCCTCCCTGGCTCAGTCAGCCACGCCTCCATCCTTTCCTCCAAATCCCATCCTAAGGCATGCTTCTTCTGAAAGGCCTGTGAACCCTCCGGCTTCTCTTCTAAGCAGGGCCGGCTCCAGGCACCAGCTTACCAAGCAAGTGCTTGGGACAGCCACTTTGGAGAGGGGCGGCACGTCCAGCTGTTCGGCAGCAATTCGGCGGACGGTCCCTCACTCCCGCTCGGCGCGAAGGACCTCCCGCCGAATTGCTGCCGCAGATCGTGATCGCGGCTTTTTTTTGTTTGTTTTTTTGTTTGGCTGCTTGGGGCGGCCAAAACCCTGGAGCCGGCCCTGCTTCTAAGAAATGAAACTGGCACGGTTTTTGCTAAACTCTGCCCTTTAATTATTTGCTTTGTGTTGCCCTCTCTGCCATCTGTCTATTGTTTAGATTAGACCGGCCGCCTGTTGGGGTTGACGCCTCTTTTTCTGTGTCTGTTCAGCCCGTAGCATACTTCTGAGCTAAACAGGTGACAATGTTTGGATCTAAACTACTCTGCTGTATGAAGCAGACTCTGTGTTGTGCACCAGTGTGACGGCCGAGAGGAGCGGATACTTGTTGCTGAGATTCCTCAGTTTTCACACTCCAGGCCTGCCGAGCAAGGTGTTGTCAGTGGAGGGTGGAAATTACTCCCTCTGAGGATCACCTTCGCATACTGCAAAGCACATCTTCTGGAGGAAGAACTTGTCTGGATTTGGATCGTCCGGGCGGGGGGGCTTTTTTTATGCTGGGTCGAAGTGATACAGGGGAGTGCTGTTTGTGCTTCATTTAACATGCTGCTTGTTTTTTAAATTGTTGTGAGCACAAGTGCCACGTGACTGACATTATTCAATATTTGTCACACACTTCTCTGTTCTTCCCACAGGGCTCGGGTGTAATCAAGGCAGGTTTTGCAGGTGACCAGATACCGAAGTACTGTTTTCCAAACTAGTAAGTACCCTAGTAACTCTGGTGGGGGGTTAGTTGCTCTGAGTATCCCAGACCATGTGCAGTCTACATAGGGGGAGGAACAGTCTTGTGGTTTAAGCAGGTGTTGGGAATCTGAAGAAGTAGGTTTTATCTCTGGCTCTGCCACTGAGATAATACTCTCCTTCCTGAGGGGTCCTGGATCTGAGTTCAGTGATGTTAAATGCTTTGAGATTGCCTGAAGTTGCTAAAAAACGTGTAAAGGATAATTATGTATGGCTTTGAGTCAAGTCCTGTGGGCTCCCAGTAACTGGTTGTAGTTATAGAATTATAGAGAGACCAAAGGTGGAATTAATTTAACCCCAGTACAAACATTGGTCATCCTGCTATTAGACAATTGAGGTCCTCTGGAAAACTGAGAAAACAAAAACAGGATGCGTAAAAAATACCTTTATATATTTATTCTGAGCCCGGTTCTACCATCTTTACTCATGTAAAATGGCTGTGGAAGTCAATGGGAGCTCTAGCTGAGAAAGGACTCCGGGATCCGGATGCCTGGGCACCACTGACAGCTGTTAGCTCACCAGACTCGCTCTTCCCCAGGGGTGTATGTGTGCTCACCCAGGTGAAGTAGTCCCTCCCACCATTGCTAGCAATAGCTTCTCAGGGACTAGAGAAGCACTGACTAGTTAGTGCTCAGGTACGTATCCTGTCTTGCATGAGACTCTCTAATACTTGTAACCTCCATTGTAGTGTGGGCAGACCAAAGCACGTTCGTGTCATGGCTGGTGCTTTAGAAGGGGACATTTTCATTGGGCCAAAAGCAGAGGTAAGAGCGCCTCTTTATCATGGATCCCCATGTGTCTGGGTGTAGGCTCCACGGGGATGTCATGGTTCCCAGCTGAGAAGAGTTGCAGCAGTAGTGGAGGGCAATGTTACCACTGGAAGTGGAAGAGCTGCGAAGGGGAGCAGTCTAGACCTTCCAGTCCAGGGTGCTGCCTGCAGCAAGCTGAGGTTTGTGCCCTGCCCCTGGTGGTAACATTAGTTGTTTCAGTTAAACACGTTTTATATTCGCTCCGACACTACGGAGCCTTTCTCTGCTCTCCCTGGTCTCTGTGCCCGTAGAAGGATAGTGTTTCTTTTGGGTTATATCCCTGTCAAAAGGGACATAAAACTAATGCCCTGGGGGGAGGGATAGCTCAGTGGTTTGAGCATTGGCCTGCTAAACCCAGGGTTGCAAGTTCAATCCTTGAGGGGGCCATTTAGGGATCTGCGGCAAAAATCTGTCTGGGGATTGGTCCTGCTTTGAGCAGGGGGTTGGACTAGATGACCTCTTGAGGTCCCGTCCAACCCTAGTATTCTATGATTCTTTGATTCTAATAACAATCATATCTGGAGTCCATAGCCCTTTCCTAGAGTGGGATTTCCACCCCCCAGTGTCCTGGCTTGATTCCAGTTGGACAATTACCTCCTCCCTCCATAATCTCCCCTGCCGTTTTGATTTGGATACAACATTCATTGACTGCTGTGTGGTGGTGCAGTGGGGTGTTAAACGTCTGCTGTCCTCCTCCCCAGAGGTGGCTGCATTTCAGTGGGGACTGATGGGATTCGGTAGCAGGTTCCTAGCTCTCTGTCACTGGGTATAGTTGTGCCTCAGTTTCCACTCCAGCTCTGTGTTTCAGCCTCCCGTGCTGATCTCTTGTCGTAGGCCAGTTGTATTTTTTTTTTTTTAATTTTTTTTGACCCTCTGGCCAAAACAAGAGAGTCTTCCTTGGGCTAAACGCTTCCATCCTTCACACATCCAACTTCACCCCCTATTGATGCAGGGCTGATCAGTACCAATAGTAGTCCTTTCCTCCAGCATCTGCCCCTGTTTATGCACAGGATGGAGGTGGATTTCTTTCTACCCTACCTGAACACCCCTGTTGTAGGCCCAGAAACAGGAAGCTAGCCCATAGCCTCCTCCATCACTCACTTCACTCCTCCCTGGGTCCTCCTATTTTTGGCTTTTCTCTAGCCAACTCACAGTTCCTTTTCATGCTGTATCCCCATCTCTCCTGGTTGAGAATCTTAAATACCAGATCTTCCTTCACTTCTGGTTTCCATAGCCTGAGCAAGAAGATTGCCATATGTAGTCCTGTCTTGCACAGCACACGGTCCCATGAATCGCTCCAGACTACAGCCCCCTTAACGACCTTGTCTGGGGCTGAACTTGGCCATTAGACTCTCCTAAAAGGTCAGTGCACACCCCATTAGAGCTTCCCATCGTGCATAAACTAGAGAAACAAACATACCCGTTTATGGATATTTGTATATCAGTTTATGATCTCCTATCCTTTATAATTAAATACAGACAGTCGGTGTTATTCCTTGGATTTTACACCAAGCAGATGCCTCTGTAAGAGGAGCAGTGTCACTAGTAAGGGGCAGTGAGGAGTATGTTTGGAAATCTCGCTGAAAGGCGTGCTGCGTTGTCTTTTCTGTGTGGCTAGGAGCACCGAGGTCTGCTCTCGATCAGATACCCCATGGAACATGGCATAGTGAAGGACTGGAATGACATGGAGCGCATCTGGCACTACGTGTATTCGAAAGACCAGCTTCAGACTTTCTCAGAAGAGGTGAGATTCCACGCAGGCCCCGTGTGTAAGCTCTGGGGTAGATCTGGCACCTTTCCTTTGCTTTTCCCTGCAGAAGCTCTAAAGGTACCTGTTCATTAATCAAAAATTATTGCTTCGCTTTAGCCCTCCGCCAAGAAATACGCAAGCAGAACGGCCTGGTGCTAATCTGATAGTGTAGCTTTACTGCTGATCCAGCATTCAGCCCCCGTGCACACATTCTCCCCAATGCAGCATCCCCTTATTTCTGAGCTGGGCCGGGTGCCTCTCATCGTTCCTGTCCTGCTTTATCCGCTCACCAAATGTTTACTAATGAGATTGTGTGAAAGGAAGGAGGCGTAAACCCTGTGCACTCAACCTGGAGAGAGAGAGAAATAAAATAGGGCAACGTCTGCGAGATGTTCTGTGAAATGGCTGTGGAAGTGGCTTAGCAGCGTTTCTGCACCATGGTGATGAACTGAAGCCTGCAACCCCTAGTCAGGGCCTGTGTTTTAAAGGCGGCCCTGCTGGAAACTTAATGATGTGACTTCTGAGTGGACAGATGGAAAAAAATCCATTCGGTCACAGCAGGATAGTCCCCGAAAGTCTGTCCCCCAGCGCTCTGTCGAATTCAGCTTGAAATGGCCCAAGTCCTGAGGATTCTCGAGCCCTTCCAGTGGGAGATTATTCCCCAGCCTCTGAGATCTCTCTGGTTGGCAGTGTTCCCTCATTCCTTAACTTCATCCCACGTTGCTATTTATATCCCCGCGGTTCCTAAAGTGTACGAGTAAACAGAGTTCTTCTGGAACACGTTCCCAATCACGCCCCCCACCCCCAGTCCGTATGGACACTCGCAGCCTGTGGTGGGGACAGAGCCCCACTCCTACGTCTAGCTGTGATCGAGCATTCCCAGCTGCAGCGGGTCAGAGCCGCAGAACGAACCCCTCTGCTGAGTTCTGTTTTGTCTCGATTAAACCAGCATCCTGTGCTCCTGACGGAGGCTCCCCTGAACCCACGGAAGAACCGAGAGCGAGCCGCTGAGGTTTTCTTTGAGACCTTCAACGTGCCAGCGCTTTTTATCTCCATGCAAGCGGTGCTCAGCCTGTAAGTATCTTCCCCTTTCTCTGCACAGCCTAAGCAGAAGGGCAAAAATAAAACTCAAGTGAGGTTGTCCTGAAAACCAGCCATTCCTTTGGAGAATGACTATTTCAATGGAGACGGATCTGCCCATCCCAAAACCACGGGGACGTTTGGGTCCTGCTCTGATGTTTGCAGCTTTGTCCCATGTCGAATTCTGACCTTAACCGCCTGGAAGGAAGTAGAAATATACAGGCTATTAGGCTTTTTTTTGGAAAAATCTCCAGTCATTGCTAGTGTAACGAGGTCCACCACACTCAAATCCCTGTACAGGCCACAGTCTGCAACTCTGCACCCTTGATCAGCAGTGGGGCTTGAACCTGGGGATCGTAAAGCGGGAGCCTCTACTGCCTGAGCTAGAAGACCCAGGGCTAGAGGGGGCAGAGCGCCACACTGAGTAGGTGTCAGTTCAGCTCCACTTGTGGGCGTGCTGGTGTAAACAAGGGCAGGGATCTCGCCGACATTCGTAATGTTACCACCATGTCCTCTAGGTCTGCCTGCAGGAGGGGGCCGTGATGGTTAAAATGCTGGTGGCTGCTGGTGCCTTGACTAAACTAGTGCCCCACGGTTGTTGTTGGCAATGGTTGGGGCAAAGGCTAGTGTATCCAAAGCAGTACCTCTCGCCCCACGGCCTGGCATTGCAGCCATCTTGTGCCCGCTGTGGAAAGCTCCGGGCTCGTGCTTCCTACCAGAAGCTCTCTCTAGGCAATGGGAGGCACCAGAGCTGGCCGACGTAACGATTCCTGCCCCTCCAGCTGCCTTAGAGTGTGGCATTTTGGGAGATGGGGTGAGCAGGGAACTGTGTGTGACTGGCTGGCTTAAAAAGATTTGCAGAGTTCATCTGCAAGGACTTCCATCCTGGTCTTTACCAAGCCATATTAAACCAACGGAGGCTTTATAAAATGGTCGTATTTTGTGCGCGGTTCAGTTTCAAATGGATCAGCTAGTGACACTGGGATTAATCCTATTTCTTCTCAAATCCTTCCCTTTTTTATTAGTAACCCACTAGATTGTGAAATGCATTTTTTAACTCTAACATCGTATTCTTCATTCCGGTCATTTACTTTCTGCATTTCACTTATGAAATTGGACTGATCTAATTTTACCAACGTTGACATATATTAATTATAACTACTTATTTCGATCCATATTGCATTTTGTAAAATCTTATTTCAAAACAACCACCCCAAATCCTGCATCAAGGCCAAAATTAAACAGAGTTCCTCAGAACTGAAAAAACTTTACTTAAAAAAGTAGAAATGCCCATTTCAGAAGTAAGCTGAATTATTCTGCAGTTATTTGTTTCTCTCTCATTGCTTTATTATTTGTCTGGAGTGTAAACATGGCGTCAGTTGGGCCAGGTAAAACTCCAGGTAACACTTGTGAAATGCGCTGCCTGTCACTCAGATATGATCTTTCTCTCCTTTGTTGCAGTTACGCTACAGGGAGAACCACAGGGGTGGTGCTGGACTCCGGGGATGGCGTTACCCATGCGGTTCCTATTTACGAAGGGTTTGCTATGCCTCACTCCATTATGCGGATCGATATCGCTGGCCGCGATGTATCCCGCTTCCTTCGCCTCTATCTCCGGAAAGAAGGCTACGACTTCCACACGTCATCAGAGTTCGAGATCGTCAAAACCATCAAAGAGGTGCCTCGCTGTCTGTGATTGGTGTAGGGTGATTTCTGCAGTGATGAGCCAAGGAGTCTATGAAATGGGGTGCAGAGCCTTCGTGGCCAGCTCCTTGATGGCAGTCTTGGCAGCGGGCCCCCTAAAAACTGAATAGGCCATTGAGCCAAAACTCCCCTCTGATTCCCACAGAGGATCTCTTCATGTCAGGGCTGAGGCACGTAGGCCGGTCAGCCTGGCGGACGTCTGCATTGCCAATGCCTGGGCTGTACCGGTTGTGCAGATAGATGCAGAACTCCAGTCCCTAGGGCTGGCAGGGTGGCACCTTCCATTAGCACTAACGTAATCTGCTGAGGAAAAAAGACTAGTGAAATCCATGCCGGATCAGAATGGGAAGTGTGAAATATTCCATATGGCATTATTCCACTATCCACAATGCTAACATTTAAAATGCAGCGCCCAGATTAGAGACCCTCTTCTTAGGAGCCCAGTATTTTGTGATCATTAGCGGCAAAGTCTCTCACAAATATGCACACTCAGGGCAGTAAGCAAACCAGAGCCATCTTGGTGACTGTTCTGTTAGAAACACGGAGGAAGGCAGCTCATCTCGGCCAAAGAGGAGGACAAACCTGGGAGATGGGAGATGAATATTTTAACTACAAGAGTGACTGATTCTTAGCAGTAGCTTTGCTTATCTCTTTGGACCTCGCCCACCATTTCTTACACACACGGGACTCCCACTGATGGATTTCAATGGAGGCTTTGCCTCTCTAGGCGCTGAGCTGTTGCAGTGACTAGCATAGAAATGCTCATACATACATACAGGCGTTCAGACTGCAGGATCAGTCCTGTAGTGATTAGAGCCTAGAGCCCAGAGCCCTGGAATTTCTGACTGTGGTTGCTGTGTAGTGACATCTGGTGGATGACTCCCATACTGCATAATCCCTTCAGTTAATTGCTGCCTGCACAGTTGGTTTAAGACAGATGCATGTGCCTGGTCTCAGTGAGTTTTTTCACAGTCTGTGATCTCCTGCCAGCAAGAGAGAGTGTGAGGAGATAGAAAAGGTGCTAGTGGCTTGGGAGTCAAATTCAAGTGCAGCCGCTTAGCATGCTAAGCGAGAGGCCCCCGCACTTGGTCACTGCAGTAGGTGAGTGGCTTCAGCAGAATGCACAAAGCTCTGGAGGTGTGGTGGGTTTGTGAGTGCTGATTACAAGGGAGGAAGGGCTGGCATTTCAGTGGCTAGAGAGAAATATAGAAGATTCTCTTCCGCTCTTCAAAAGTGGATAGAAAACATCCTGTAGCTTCCGTGCCTTGCAAGATGCCGGGCTTGATAGGATGGGGAAAAGCGAGAAACGTGCACGCGTCCAAATCGGGGGTATATTGCACCTTGGAAACGCTCGTACAAATGGCCACAGTCCTTGGTGCGCTTAGAAAATGAAACCGCCGGTATTGGAATCTCTGCTCTAGCGGTCAGGCTGACCATCTCCCAGGAAAGTGGTGACTTTCTGAACCGTACCCTTCCAAAAGCCGAGCTTCAGAACAAAAATGGAGACGAGCCCAGACTTGCGTGCTGAACCTCCTCACTAGTGGGGCTGGGGGAGTGCCGAGTTAGCACATACGAGAGCTTTCCCTCCCCACACTGCTCCCCCGGTAGTTCCTGGTTCACTGAAGAGATGCTAGAATTCATCATTCTCCGACAGATACCGGGGTTTGCAGGGAGATTTCTGCTATTTGTTTTCACCAAGGCAGCCGGCGGTGCTGCCAGCTCACGATTTTATCACGAGCATTACTGTTCGATTTCCTTAAAGACCCAGGTTGTGGAGACAAGGGATAAATATGAGAATCTCTGCTTTACTTTTTTTTTTAATGAAAGTTTGCTCCCCTCCTGGTGTGGAGAAAAGCTTGAAAATGCTCCCGGAGTGTGACCTAAAGGCTTAAAACCAGGAAGAAAAATAGAAAAGAAACAGTCATTTATTATTTGTCACGTGATATTTAAACCAATAATGAGTTTTTCGGTGCCTGACATGATTTTTGAAGGACCGGGCTTGGCGGTACTGAGGATTTCAGAGGGAATCATTTTAAAAAAAGATTTTTAACTTGCTTCAGTCAGGTCAGCAGGGACAGTAGCAATGGATTTCTGGGCTTAACCCTTTCATATTTTATTCTTTGCATTGTGACTTTCACACTGTTTCCTTCTTAAGTAGCTTGTGGAGCTGCCTGGAAAGCATTTCCATCTCTGCTACGTGTGTCCCAAACAGGGACCCAGTCAAAATAGAAAAGCTTCTTGCAGAACAAAAAGTTCACAAAATTTCTATTTGAAAAAGTCAGAATGTTTTTGTTTCCCCATGAAGCCCTATAGTGGCTAAGCTGCCAGGAGACTTAGGTGCATCATGGGAGATGTAGTCCAGCTAGCGAGTGGGGACCAGAATGAGACACCTCAGTGGCTCAGAGTAGACTAACAAACGTTTCAGTTCAGATTGATCTGAAATATTTGTTTGTCCCGACAGAAGGTTCTGCTGAAAATTGCTCTCTTCCCAAAGAAAAATGTTTTGTTCAGAGCCCTGCTCATCTGCCTGCGTTCCCTTTGCAGCGTGCCTGTTACCTGTCAATAAACCCACAGAAGGACGAGACGTTAGAGACCGAGAAAGCCCAGTACTACCTGCCAGATGGAAGCACTATTGAGGTGCGTAAGGAACAAATATTACATTATTCTTCATAAGAAGCTCAGTGTTAGTAGAACGTCCTGGCCCTCTCACTGCTGGGGGCTGGGACGTTTTGGTAGAATCTCTTGCTAAAATGTAGCTGGAGTGGGGACAGGATTTCTCTTGTAAAAGGTTAGAATAGTTCCTTATCTATTTCTTTCTAAAGACCTACAGTGATTGAACCTATTGATAAACGGTTTCTGATAAATATAGCTTCCCTCTGAGGATCCCTGCGTACCCGACCCGTAACTCATTGAAATCCCAGTGATCCAGAAACACGTGCTGTTCCTGTGACACGGAGACCTCAAGTCCAGGGGTCTGCACTTGCAGGTTCTGATGCAGGATCAGGGACAGGATGAATGGGTCTCAGCTTACTGCAAATCCAGCAGCAACCTGTAGATGGGGTTTATCTTCTCTAGCAGCACAGAAACAATCCCTTTGAAGAATGACTTAGAAAGAAACCTAAAGGTGAAACCTTCCAGATGAGGGCTGAAGGGGAGAGAGTATGGGGGTTGTTTTGCCCTAGCGCACGAGACTTGGAATTAGGAGATCTGGGTTCTGCTCTAAGCTCTGTTGCTCATTTGCTGTGGGCCTAGGAGCAAGTTGCTTTCTCAGTTCCCCTTCTTCCCCCATCCATAAAGGGGGGGTAATAATTGACTTAGTACTTTAGTGGCATGTTGAGGCTTGCTTCATGTTCATGAGGTCTTTGAAATCTTCGGCTCTATGAAGCTACATGGGTTATTATGTGTTAAAGGGAGCAGCCTATCAGCCTTGTGTTCCTCATCAGGATGTTAATGATGTCATACAAGTCTGTAGTAGGCCAGAGAGACTCTTTATAACTCCGTGATGTTTCGGTCATTGAATGGTTAAGCGTCTCTGCTATACAGGCATAGGCCACGCTGCTGCTTGTGCCGCACTGGAAGCTAACCTGTTCCCTCGTGTTGTTCGCAGATCGGCCCTGCCCGTTTCCGAGCCCCCGAGTTACTGTTCCGGCCTGACCTGATTGGAGAAGAGTGCGAGGGGCTGCACGAGGTGTTGGTGTTCGCAGTTCAGAAATCGGACATGGACCTGAGGCGAACGCTCTTCTCCAACATTGTGCTGTCCGGGGGCTCCACACTCTTCAAAGGTCTCTTTGCCTTCCCCCTGGGCACGACGCCCTGAGCCAATTCCCCTGCACACTACTGGGGGAGGGGGGAGGTCATGGAATCCTAGGAAAGCCCCGTTAGATCCTCCAACTGCTCTCAAACGGTCAGGGCAGGAGTGAGGCTTTGTCCACCACTTCCCCGGGAAGACGATGCCACAGCCTGAGACTTTATTCTTTTCTCCAGAACTCTACCGACATCCAATGTCATCCCGTTACTCCTAGTCATCCCCCTGTGTCCCCCTAGATAATCCCTCCCCTGCTTGGAATCGCCCCTCAAGCTTCTGTAGACTGAAGTAGAGACTTCTTAAAGGCATCCGGCTCCCACATATGTCATTGATGCTCTCCCCTTGCTATCCTGTCCTTCCCCTTCCCCCATCATCATTTTGCCTAAGAAAGCCTGGACAGCCAGGTTCTTTCTGCTCTTCCATTGCACTGTATTAGGGCAGTTTCTTTATTAAATCCGTAGAAGGCTGGTGCACGTCCTGAAGTTCCCTTAGGTCTCTGCTTTGGTGGCAGGGCTGTTGAAATCCCCCCAGGCGTGAGCTGAGCATGTGCAGTGATTGTAGCTACATCCCCATCTGGATGTCCCTGCCCACCTCAGAATGGGGGCGATAAGAGAAGGATGTAGAGGGAGAGGTTGTTCTTAAAGCCAAGGTGTGTGTGACACTCTGAGACGATGCTAATGGAACAACCAGCTTCTAGTTGTAATAGAAATCCCAAGAACTCTCTCACTCCAGCAGGAGTCAAGGTACAAACACTACTCGTGTAGATGAGTCTCTCCTGGGCCCTCCTGACCTGTGCTTCCCAGGGGTCACCCACAACCACTTCCTCAGTGCAAGTCTCCCTGCAAGTCCCTCCGAAGCAGAGCCTGTGTTATAAAGGCCACAGACTCCTCCCACTTCCCAGCATGCTTTGCAGTGAAATGAGTGACAGCCAGGCTTGCCTTTTCCCCCACTCTCTGCTCTCACTGGGACTCAGGAAGGCTCATGGGGCTCACTCCTTCCACTTTGTGGCAGGGCTGCTCTGCACCATGGCGTGAGTCCACCCCTCTGGTAAGAGGACGAAACTCTCCTGGACCCACTTCCTGGTCTTCCACCCCCATCTGGTAGCACTGGAGGGCCAGGAGTCGAGGGGAGAAGGGTGCACCTACCCACCCTTTTCTGAGCTTTGTAGTTGGGAGACTCAACCAGATAGAAACAGGAAGCCAAGCCTACCTAGCTCTTCTGAGACTTCTCCTTTCTCCCCAGGGACAGCTTGTCTTCTCACTTGTCCAGATAAAGCCATTCCGCCGATCCAGGCCAGGAATGGTTATCTTTGGAGGGAGTAGGTTGGCTAGGAGGGTGAATCCAGTTATTATTGGCACGAATCTTGGTTAGTGCGTAGGGACCAACCAAGATCTGGGCCCAGTGTGCTAGATACTGTAAAAATACAGAGTGGGACACCTCTGTAAATTATACAAAGCCCCTACATCCGCCGTATCAGGATCTTCTTTCTGGTTCTGCTCTGTGGGCTCCCCGAGCCTGCCGAGGACTCTGGGAAGGGACTTTACGGGCATTGGCTCAATGGGCAGGCAGGGCCATCACCCCGCAGTATTTTGCGCGGAGCGTCACTGCATCTGCAATAACTGGTCGGGGGCCATGCTCAGGGGCCCAAACTAAAGGCAAGTTTCCTTTTCTGTGCAGGCTTTGGAGACCGACTCTTGAGCGAAGTGAAGAAACTAGCACCCAAGGACGTCAAAATAAGGGTAGGGGCGCTCTCCTCTCGAGGCTTCCTGGCCTGCCTTTCCCCTGCGGTGGGCTGGCGAGGTTCAGCAGCCTTGAGTCACTTGGCGACACCAGGCTGAGGTGGCCACTGCCCTGCCCTTCAAACCAATTCCAGCTTTTCCGGAACAGCCCAGGCACCCCTGTGGTGGCTGCTCTTAGAACTGAAACCCATTGGGGTTCTGGAGAGAGGCTTCCTGCTGGCAATGCAGCCCGCCTCCAGGATCTCTGACCCTGACCATGCTCGTCCCCTGGCAGCGCAGCTTGAAGGGAGAAGCAGTCCCAATGCATGTGTCTGATGGGTGGGAGTGACTTGGGGGAGGAGGGTGTAACTGGGGAGCAGCTTGTATCCTGGGGACAATATTAATCCGAGTTCCCTGCTTCTCCTTTCAGATATCTGCTCCTCAGGAGAGATTATATTCCACGTGGATCGGGTACGTACTGCACAGCAACACCGTAAAGCACTGTCTAACTGTCTAGCTCAAACCTGGGCCCTGCCCCCACTACAGTTAGAGCCAGGGTAGCCCCGACCGTATTGGGTCATGTTTGTTGTGAGCAGGGTTCTGGTCTTGTCCCTAATCCTCGGCCTGGTCTGTTTCATCATAAAGCCACGCTGGACTCTGCACAGTCATAAGTGCAGCCTCTGCCAAGGAAACCCTGTTCACCATGTTATCCTGGTGCTGTACCCAGTGGTCTCCTCTAGTCCTGCCATTCTCGTCTCATCCTGCACCATCCCGGTCAGTGGGAGCAGGCCCTTGGATGGTAGAGTTTGGGGCCGGATTCCCCTCATTGATACCGTTACTTCAATGGAGTTACTGCTGATTTAGACCAATAAGTGAGAGGGAATCAGGACCGGAGGCTCCTATCTGACTGTGCCTATTTAAGGTGTTGAAATAAGAAAATCCACTTTGCTGGCAACGCCTGTGTTTTGCAACTTGCTGGCTGTTGGTGCAGTTTCAGCTCCCCCCCGGACAAAGCATGGATGATGGCGGCTGAAAGCTCAGCATGGCCCTGAAGCTAATGGGGATTTGGTTTGTAAGGTCTTCGGGGCAGGAACTCTCTCTCTGGGTGTTTGCACAGGGGTTAGCACCCTGGGGTTTTGGCCCCTGACAGCAGCCTGGAGGTGCTGCCGCAGGCCAGATAGCACATGAGGGAACAAGACCCACTGGCTTGTCCCGCTTTGCTAACACACTCACTTGTTCCCCCCCAGGGGCTCTATTCTGGCCTCGTTGGACACCTTTAAGAAAATGTGGGTTTCAAAGAAGGAATACGAAGAAGATGGAGCCCGTGCCATCCACCGAAAAACCTTCTAACCCTGGGACCCGTCCTACACTCGCTTTTCTGAGTCAGAGTGTCTGTGAGGAGCTGTCTGTGTGTGTGTGTGTGCGTGCCGAGCATGGCCCCGGAATGTCATGGAGCAAAGAGGAGAAGGATTAGATCACTACTTCTTCCTTTTTTTTTTTTTTTTAATTTTAAACTGTAGGAGGAAAAATAACCAGGCCCCATTTCTCCGGTTGGTCCCATTCCTTTTACCTTCACTCCTCTCGCGGCCACGTCTGTCACTAGAGAAAGGGAATGGCTTAGAAGTAGAACAGCTGGACAGAAGGGATCCGACCACTGTAGTCACGTAGCCTAAGACTCCAAACCTTGGCGTGTCCTTCCCCTCCGGCACTCCACAGCACTGTCTGCTTCGCCCTTCGTGGGTGCCCAGCAGTGAGTCTCTCTCGCTGGCCAGTTCATCTTTTTTTTTTTTTCATATATTTTTATACAGAAAAAACACTTTGGGAGCAGTTACAACTCCCCCCCCCCCCCTTTTTTGTTTTGTTTTGTTTTTGTTTTTGGTGTGTCTGCGCACGTGTGTGTGTGTGTGTGTGTGTGAAACTCTTAGCCTGCTCCGTGGCTATGGACCACGATTGCACAGCTGGAGCAACTGCTGACAGGACTTAGTTTGTATTGCATGGTGTAGGTCACAACCGCCCCTCCGCCGCTCTGATTGTACTAGAGGGTTATGATCTTAGGCTCTTGTTCGCTGACGTTCTTTCTCGTTGTGAAGCAGGTGCCCAGGGTGGGTACAAAGGCACTGGGGTGTTTGCTTTGATTTTGTTTTGAGAGGTTTACAGGGCCGTGTGCTCTCTCACTCTGTAAGAGAGGAGGCTGCATTTCCCCCTTTCTCCCACAGCAGGGTCAAGGAACCATCCATTTTCAGCCGGACAAAACCTCTTCCATTTGATCCGTCCTTGAGCGAAAAAGCACATTGTAACTTTTGAATTATTTTATTTATTGAAATGTTTAATATCTAAGTTACTAACAGAGCTGCTGGTTCCAGGGGCAGCGGCTGCCCCTCTCCTTCCAACACCCTTGTACTGAATTTTCCATTGTTTAATGCGAACACTAATGTTTACAGCACACATGCTTAGCATAGTAGCCAGCTAGCCAACCCCGCAACGCTCCTTGGTTATTGTTAGCGAGTCAAGGTTCTCTAGGAATGCACCAAATGAGAGGACAATAAACTCTTAGTACGCTGGCATTATCAGCAGGGGCCTGAGCACTAGTTCTTCATTCCACGGTAGTGTAACGCTAGGCTAACCCTTCTGGAATGACACTGCTATCGCGGCTGTAAGGCCACGTACCTGCGCTGGGTGGGTGTGTCCTGTTGTGAGGGAGCAGCTGGTGCTTTTTACGTCTGTGTTTTGTTTTTTAAATGAGGTTGCTGCTGAGAACCAAATATTTTGCCTGGTTTAGCCACTTAAGTATTAGAGGAGAACTCAACAGAGTTGTGGAGTCAGGGTAGTAGCCTTATCTCTATATAGAGCCAAGTCTAGGTCTTTGAAAAGAACAAGATTGGAGTAGGAGGAAAACAGCCTGGGGAAACCCAGAGCTTTTCCTGCCTCCTAACAGATTTGCACCTCTAGGGGCATGGAGGGGGTGTGGAGCCTTCCAACCCTTTTTTTTTTTTTAAACCACCTGTTTTTATTTTAGATGCTACATGGATAGTTGGAGATTCAATCCCTGGATTTAGAATCTGCAGTTTGCTTTATTTCTCCTATAAAAGCCAGCTGCCTCCATCAGACCTGCAATGATGCAAATGCAGCCGTTGTGCTTATCATTCAAGGGAAAAAAGGGTTAAAGCCTGCTCGGTTCAAAGACAGTCTGGAGCGTGGTTTGGTTTTGGGGTTTTTTTAAGTAACATGCCTGTGGTGAATCCCTGCTTTGGGTCTTGAAAAGGAAGCTGTAAACACCAGTAATTCCCACATGTGCTATTACATCCTTTACTTCACCAGCTCCCCTTCCCCTGTGCGGCATCATGCCTGTGGTACTGACAGGCTGCAGGGTGACTGCTGGCTGGTACTGCCTGTGCACCACAGAAGGCGGTCCCCGCAGCTCGGCAATGGAGTGATCCTGTGTGTTGGGGGAGAGAGAATTTTCTTCTTAGCCTGCCGAGGAATAAATTCCACGAGGAGGCTGCTCTCCGCTCAATTCTACTGCTTGTGTCAGGGCGTTGTCTGTTTAGACCAGCAAGAACGTGAGTGGGACTCAGTCTCCCCTTCCACCCCCACTAAAAAGAGCAAGGCTGGCAGTGCCACCCAGGGCAAAACATCAGCAGATTTGACCCCCGTTTCAGAACCATGAAGCTAGAAAGGGAGAGGTGCAAGCTAGGACCTTTCCCTGGCAGTAGCTCCTCCTACACTGATTTAATGTGATAGAGTGCAGCTAGTGCCATTAGTAGAGCGGGGCAGGGACCACCTGTTAAAAATGCACAGAGGCCCACGAAGCCTGAGCCAGACCTTAATGCAGCTGGGGAGTTGAATCAAGTAAGATCAGGGGCCTCTTGTCTCAACACGTGGTCCTCACTGGTGTAAACTGATAATGTCTTAATAGACAGCCTGCCACTATGCCTCATTAACACCAATTAGCACTTACTGTCCAGGCGTGAGATGTCCAGGCCCCTGGCCTTAGCAAAAATCTCCTGCTAGAAACACCTCAGTGGGGGGCAAGATGCAATTTCATTTGGGCGTGAGACTTTGGTGACATGACGATTTCTAGGCTAGCAGCAGATGGACTACAGAGAATTTTCTAGGGAAGGTCTCACTCAGGTCAGGGGATTTCGCAGTAGCAGGGGGACAGTGGGCAGTAGTCTATACAATGTTAGCAGCAGGTGTGTAGGCTGCAGCTCTGCGGTAGTTTGTTATAAAAGCCTACAGCAGACAGCACAAAAGAGAGCGCTCTGCAATGAGGGCCTAGTCTCCTAGGCAGCTGATAAAGTCCTTCCCGTTTCCCGCCTCCACCAAGGTAAAAGTGACCTAGGTTCTAATTGTTAGTATGATTATCTTTTCCCAGCCTTGTAAGTCAGTTGCTTATTGATTCCCTTTCTGTATCCCATCTGTACACTCCACGCTCAAGCCTGCCTGCACCAGGTGGAAATCAATTTGTTCCTAATTCACCTTTGAGCTGTACCAGTCTCCTTCCCTTGCAACTCGGGCTAACTCTCCTGCTGTGAGGCCCTTGGCTCTTGAAGGGCTATGCACTCCCGAAATCTGATTTAAAGAGTTGCTTTGGAATAGGCCAAGGAGCTGGAGGAGGGTCCCCCTCAGCTGAAAGCAGCTAGTGCCACCCATGGAGCCCGCCCCCCTTGCCAATCTACTGCCTCCCCAGAGAGCTAAACCTGAGTTTAAAATCTTTGTATATCCTCGAACATGAGCCTAAGAAATTACTGTGTGTCTTTTCCAGACACACAAGGCAGAAATAGGCTTATATAATTCCCAGAGGTCTTAGCGCTTCATGTTTTGATCACCACCTCTAGCAAATGTTACACCTCTATTACAGCTTCAGTGGTTGGCAGTTGCTGGTGTGGAGAAAAGGGAAATGAGAGGATTTAGACACCAGACTTTAATTTGCATGTAGGCAAATTCTACTTGGCCCCCATCCATTTGCTTGCATGACTTGCAGCACATTCGCTTTCTACAGTGGGAGCAGGTTCAGCCAGGCAGGCTGCACCCTGGCCCAGAACTAACTTACTCAAGCTGCAAAGCACCGGAAGGGGCCTGGCCTTGGCAAAAGCTGCCAGATGTGGTTGTACAAAGCAATGGGATGCAACAGTCCACTTTGGGAGAGGGCAGTTTGGGAACATACTTCCCTTCAGTGCCATATCTTCTGCATAGTGCCAGCTTCCCACCTGGACAAGGCAGGGAGGTCAGCTACCCGGTTAGCAGTGCACGTTCGGTACTCAGCACTTCTCAAGCAGCAACACGTATTATAAAGGGTTAGCCACTACAGCTGGTGTTGCAAAGGCTCCACCGTTTTCCCTCCCCTCCCCTCCCCCAAATTCCTTTCCCCTGCAAACAAATCGGGGGAAACGGGGCTGCTATTTAGCTTCCTACTAATCCCAGTTCTAAGTAAGAACCTGTAGAAGCCCATTGTTGAGGAACAGCTGCTAACACAAAGCCTGTTCCATTGGAAAATAAGCTGTACTGTATTCCCATTGTCGGACAGTATCAGATAGCAGGTGATGCATGGAAAAAGGGAATGATTCTGTGTTAAGGGCAGCTCACAAGACTGTTGCCTCTTCTCTTGCCTGACCCCATGTTCCTCAGCCTGACTTGGAGCTGGCAGGAGCAGCAGCTCTGGGCAGTGTCCTGTTTGTGACCAGCCAAAGGCACCGTCTGCAATCTAGCCTTTGTTCTATCAGCCTGACGCTGTTCCTCGCACACCTCTCCCCACCATGGTGCCTGCTGGCGCCCAACATACCGAAATAAAGTTGTTCAGATACAAACCTGCATCTCTCTGTCTGCAGGGGGGAGGGCTGGATGGGCTCTTAGAGCAATTGCTCGGGAGGCAATTTCTCCCCTGGGAATGCTGGTGGTCGTTACTGTTGTGGGCTGTACACTTACTTACACTCCATAGCATTCCAAGGGGGTAGGACAAAGGGACCAAACAGACACGTTGAGGGGGAAGAGGGTAACTGACAGACGTATTTTTTTTTAAAAAATCTCCCTCTACCCTCACCCCAGGCAGCTGGGTAAGTTACTGTAGCCAGCATGGTAGAAGTGGGGCACTTAGGAGGAATCCAACTCCAGAGAAGGTAACCACCTGGTGGAACAGTTCACAACCGGCTACTCCACAGGTAGCCATAGGCTGAAAGGAAGGGGGCAGACGCTCAGCAAATGGGTCTGCAGTTGGAAATTTAAGACTTCGTTTCACAGCACGACAGTGAGCAAGGATTATCGAACAACCTAGCAGACCCCTGCTGACAGGGGAGATGTGACCGATGGTTTGAAAGTAATAAAGGTGAAGTCCCAGTCATCACAGCTGGAAGACAGGCCAGAACAAGTACCAGACAGTGTTTTACAACACCAAACTTAGTTTCCATCTGGCACCTGCTTCTATTCTGCGGAGCAGGACTGCTCCAGACAAGCCCCCAGGGTGTTAGCTTGAGGCTGAAGGCCAATGGTTCTAGAGCAGAACACACATGAGCCAGACCAGAAGTTACTTCAGAGGATCCCAGCCCTTGCTCTGCATTTTCATTTCCTGTTTTGTCTGAAGCATCAGTGGTTGGGGCAGTCGCAGGTGGAGCATGCACTGAAAGTGTCAGCCCTGAACTGTATTTAATTCAGTCAGCGTCCTGCCGTGGAGCTGGGTGTGAATCACGATCCAGGGTTACTCAGCCACCGGGGGCTAGTTTGAGCTCAGCTGCTCATGCACTGACTTACTTAGAAACAGTCACTTCTCAGCTACAGTTGTTCCTTAGGGGGCTGCCCCCTTCCTACCCTGTCACAAGGTGGCCTTGAGGGGAAGGGAACGCAGTTCCTGTCTGGGTGGAGCATAGAGGCAGTAGGGTGCTACACAGAAAGCTATAGCCGAGGGAGATTACCTACCGGTAGCTGATGGTACAACGGCTAGGGTCAGGGGTTACCCTTTGCACAGGGGGCCCACTCGTGTTCACACCAATTTTGCTCTAATAGGTCAGCCAATGCTGCCCTGAAGGCACTTGTGCCTGAAGCTTTAAGATGGTGTCCAGGCGCTCCAGCTTTCCCAGAGACTAGAGTGCTGCAGCAATGGAGCTGAAGGTGGCTGTGATTCATTCAGTGCCCGCTGAAGACCAATGTCTGAGCTTTTTTTTGGAAGAACAGACCACGGAGGAGGCAAGGGAGGGAACCCAGCAGGAAGGGGAAGTGGTAAAATATCAGAGTAGGTCCTAGTCCTTGCACACACACCCCTCCCGTGTCACATTGACAGTATTGTGCTCCCTCTCCGTGGGCAGAAGTACACATGCTCAATGGATTCAGCTACTTTCCAACCCGAGAAGAGAACTGGTCCAGGGGAGTGGCTGCTCCCTCACTTCCAGGTGTGCAGTAGAGCAGAAAGGCGACCAGGAGAACTGGCTGGTAGCAGAACCACGCTGGAAGGGGGAGCACTGGCTCCAGCCACTAAGTGTTTATTAGCAAAGGGGAATCAGAGCAGATGGAAGAGCCATATTAACACTGATGGGGAAGGAGCAGTCGGCGGAACGTTCCCTCTAATTGTATTTGCAGGAAGGAGGATTGTGCACAGATGGGGCTGCGAGTTCACTCACGCTCAGAGCCAACAGACGAATGTAAAATGAGGGAGCCAGACACCAGATCCGACACCATTGAATTCCCTCCCTTCCCCCGTGGCCCTCCTCCCACATAAAATTGATAGCCACTGCAAAGAACGGAAGAACCACCAGAGGGATGCAGAGCAAAATATTAGGGAAGGGGGACTGTGAACCTCAAACAGATACAAACCAAGGCAAGAATTTTCCATGGGCCAATGTCTGCAGAGTGCGCTATTCACACAATCCGGTTTCTCTGGAAATGGAGACCAACGCCCAGCAGCTGAAGTTCCCGAGCAGTACCTTGGAACGGAGGACTTGCCAGACTGACTCCAGGTCCATCTAGCCCAGTATCCTGTCTCCAGCAGAGGCCAGAGAGAGGCAGAGGCAGGTGTAAGAACCCCACTTAGCAGGTGTAAGATATTTGCTCTCCACATTAGGTCTCCTCCTGGTCTAACAGCTAGCGATCAGCATAAACCCTGCAGCATGAAAACAAAGGAACTTGTTTGTTTGCCCTAATGGTGTTTGGGACAAAATTAAGGACCCATAATTTTCACGTCTGCCAGCAGGGCTTCCCCAGGATTTGGGCATGGGACCTCTGGCCCCGAAAGTGAGTCCTACCCCTGCACCACTGATGAGAACGGATTGATCCTCCAACAGTGCACAACCCCCTTCCTGCTCAGCACATGCTTCCCCCTGCCCACTTCCGCCCAACTCCTGAGTTATTAGAATACCAATAACGCCTCACCTCAAAACTATTCCTTTTGAGCGCTGGCAGGGGTAGCGTGGCGAACGGTCTCTTGAGAAGCAGGAGAATTACAGGCAGTTCATTATTGCGTCTTTGAAGATCCCCTCACTACAGGGCAGCAAGTAGCTCAAGCAATGCCCCAAATCATTAACACTGGCACCTGCACGTGCACACACCGGCCCAAACCCAACCAGCCGGATTTCATTCCTCCAGACCACCACAGAGCCTGAACTCCAGTAACGGAACCCTAAGGAGGGAAAGCCGAGGGCCCCTAGTCCAGCAACAGGTTCTTCAGGCCAGAGAACCAAGTGGGCTAAACTGAAGCAACAGTACCGTAGGCATTTGGAGCGGGGACCATATGGCTGCCGTGCCTATGTCCAAGACTGAAAAGTGTCCGGTTTACAGATCACAGCAGCACCTGGGGGGTGATGTTGGCCAAGGAAATGGGCTTGGAAAGAGACTGGTGCTCCGAGCCCGGCAGAACCTGGAACAGGTCAGATACCAACGATACAAAAACCCAGTCACAAGCAAAACCAAAATTGGCCCGGTCTGCCACAAGGGCTGCAGTTCGGATAGGGAGCGCCTGCCCGGGCTGCAGTCAAACGAACTTGAGGGGAGCATTTGGGAGGACGCTGGTATTTGGTTTGTGTGCAACAGCTACTGGTAATGCAAAGGGCCAAAACCTCAGGAACTACAGATCCCACTTGGCTCATGCTGGGAGCTGGAGATCCAAGAGGAGCAATCTAGTCCAGAACGCTTCAGACCAAGCTTAGCAATTGAAAAAGTGATTCTCCAGCGCTAGCTGGTTTGTAAAGCACTCCAGAAACTGACATCATTAACACACCCACCCCAAACTGAACCGCAGAACAGCAATACAGAAAAGGTCATTTTTAATCAGCTCATTAGGAAATGAAGAATCTGTCAAAGTTTGTTAAAAATTACATAAATAAGTTATGAGTTAACCGTCAAAAGATACAGATGCCTCCAGGCGGTAACTATTACAGCTTTGTTACATCTTGGTCTGAGACCCAAGGCGGCTGTGTCCTGAGGTGAAACGGCAGTAGTTTGGCTGGCTCCACCTTTAACAGCAGAACAAGAGGAAGCGCCAACGGGGGCACCTAGCTGGTGTCTGTCTGAATACACAGCACATACATGATGGGGGAGTTTGGCCTTCACATGCTCCTGATGCTTTCCTTGTTCTCCTGCAGCTGTGAGAGTAGGTGGGTGCTTGTCCACCTCCAGCCAAAACTGAGACTAAATCCCAAAGTGCTTTGGCACGATGCATCTTGGTCATGATCCAGTTTTGCCGACTCAAGCAGAAATAGACTTAGCATAAACCATTCTGAGACAAACCAATTAGGGGATTTCACAGATCAACATCTCCTGCAAGCAACCTGGATCAGAACTGTGCTAGCTACAAATGTGTGCTTGTTCTGACCCCAGCGTGGTCAAGGTCTTCTGTAGATTTCAACCCCTCTTGCTATCTCGCTCCAGAACTTCTGTTTGGCTGCTGAGTTAGTCAGTCAATCACTAGGACATGGTTTAAAACAAGACAAGACAAAAAAAGCTAAGCAGTTTATCATCAGAGCTGCAATTCTCACTGGTTTAGATACCGCTCTACATTCTCAGCACGTATACTCTCTGATGACACAAAACTAACGTCTGTTTACACAGATGGGGTGAAATCCTGCCCCCACTGCAGTCAGTGGGAGTTTTACCATAAACTTCAGTGGGGCCTGAATTTCACGAATGGTAGAAGAGAAGAACTAGGAGTACAAGAAGAACCAGGAGTACAAGAAGAACCTGGTAGCAGGGCAGGGTTGGGCTTCCCCTCCCCAGCAGCGGAGAGGGATGGGCTCAGTCTTAGGCTCAATCAGGTGTGTCAGGATGATTTAAAATAGAGGCTCCCCTGCCCCCAGACTGGGGTAGATGCAACTATTCCCCTTACCAGGTACAGTTTGGTTGCATGGAGCTCAATCCGACAGCTCCAGGCTAAGGCAGCTCTGTTGATTTCCGGGGGGTTACTTGTGGTGCAGGGATGAATGTGAGAGAGCACAGGGCTTGTGTGGTAAGGCCCTGGGCCGTCTTGCAAAGAGGAGGGGTTACGGTGCTCAGCAATCGCACCGGTGGACAGGTCCCCAACAAAGCTGGTGTTGCTGTATCAATTCCCTTTGGGGTGGGGGTGGCTCTAGAGCCCCCTCCCCACATCAGGCGGTCCTAAACTCAGTTTAAAAATGGGCTTCAAGAACCGTGAGTCATTTTGCAGAGAAAGCAGCAGATAAGCAACCCCCGGATGAAAGGCAGTAACACGGGGAACGTGGGCTCCCCCACCCTGCCCGTTCACTGCAGGGAGTCCGGCATCACGTTCACACAGGCCTCTGCAGGTTGCGTGAAAGCGATTAGCATTGGGACTAACCCGACAGAATGGGCTCGATCTAAGAACTGTGTCACT